GAGCCTGCTTGGGATTTCTCTCTCTCTCTCTCTCTCTCTCTCTCTCTCTTTCTCCCTCTGCCTCTCCTCTGCTCATGCACTATCTCTCTCTCAAAATAAATAAACATTTAAAAAAATCAGAAAACTCAGATGAATTGGATAAAATCATACAAAGGCACAAACTTCCAAATCTACTCATGGAGGTAGAATATTTGAATAATAGTCTAACAAATAAGTAAATGAATTAGTTATTTTAAAAACTACCCATAAAGAAAAGCCTAGGTCAGCACAGCTTCACAGTTAAAGTCTACCAAACCAAGCAGAATACTAATTCTTTACAAACTCTTGAAGTAAAAAGGAGGGAAAACTTCCTAATTTTATGAACTCAAAATTAACCTGATAGCTACATCAGAAAAAGACATTACAAAAAAGGGCAACTATCACTAATACCTTTTATGAATATGGATGCAAAAAATCTAAACAAAACACTAGTCATCTGAATCTAGGAACATATAAAAAGAATTATATACCTTGACCAAGTGGGATTTATCTGTGGAATTCAAAATTAGATTGTTAATCTAATGTAACATATCGGAATCATAAAAAATAGGAGCACATGGGTGGTTCAGTCAATTAAGCATCTGACTCTAGATTTTGGCTCAGGTCATGATCTCACCGTTCATGGGTTCAAGCCCTGCCTCAGGCTCTGCACTGACAGTGCTGAGCCTGCTTGGGATTCTCTCTCTGCCTCTTTCTCTGCCTCTTCCCCACTCACGTGCTCTGTTTCTCTCTCTCTCTCAAAATAAATAAAACTTTAAAAAATAAAAAATAAACTACATGACCATCTTCATTCATGAAGAGAAAGCATTTACAAAATCCAACACCCTTTCATGACAAAAGAGAGTGAACGTATGAATAGAAGGGAACTATCTCCACAGGATAAAATTGACAGCTACCATTAGACTTAGTGATGCTTACCCCTCGATGTTGGAAGAGGACAAGTCTATACTTTATTGCCTCTTCTAATCAACATTGTTCTACAGATCTAGCTGGGACAAATAGGAAATATCAATAAAGGCACCCATAGTGGAAAGAAGGAAGGAAAATGATTTCCATTAATAGATGGTATGACCTTATATACAGAAAATCCAAAAATTTGACTATAACACTATTAGAATGGAGCAAGATTGCAGGATGCAAATAAATATGCAAAAATAAAATATTTTTATACATATGCAATAACAATCTGAAATAAGTAATTCCATTTATAATAGTATCCAAATTAATAAAATATTTGACAAAAATTCAAACTGTATACTTTAAAAAATACAAAATACTAATGAAAGAAGTTAAGGTAATTAAGTGAAGATCATCCCATGTTTATGAACCAGGCTACTCAATAATAAGATCACGATATTCTCCAAAGTGATCTAAATGTTATGCAACTCCTGTCAGAGTCCCAACTGGCTTCTTTGTAGAAACTGACATGCTGACTTCTAAATTCATACGAAATTGCAAGTAATTCAGAATAACCAAATCAGTTAGGGAAAAAAAAAACAACCCTGAAAAACTAACATTTACCAATCTAAAAGTTACAAATATACAATAATCAAAGCAGTTGGACACTGGCATAAGGTTAGATGTATCTACTGTTTTGTTTTTTGGTTTTTTTAGAGAGCACAGGCAGGGGAGAAGGGCAGAGGGAGAGAGAGAATCCCAAGCAGGTCCCACACCCAGCATGGAGCAGACTCGGGGCTCGGCTTGATCCCCACAGCCCTGTGATCATGACTCAAGCCAAAATCAAGTCGGACACAACTGACTAAGCCACCAGGCGCCCCATAAGGTTAGATATATTAATCAACAGAATAGAACTGATTGGAAATTAAATCCAGGTATCTCTCTGGTCCATTGATTTTTCTTTTTTATTTTGAGAGAGAGCGAGTAGGGAGGGGCAGAGAGAGAGAAGGAGAGGATCCCAAGTAGGCTCCATGCTGTCAGCACAGAGCCTGATGTGGGGCTCAAACTCACAAACTGTGAGCTAATGACCTGAGCGGAACCCAGGAGTCGGATGCTTAACCTACTGAGCCACCCAGGCGCCCCTCTGGTCAAATGAGTGTTGACAAGAGTGCAAAGACCTTTTAGTGGAGAAAGGACAGTCTTTTCAACAAATGATGATAGGAAAACTGGATAGCTACATACAAAAGAACGAAATTAGACCCTTTCCTCACAATATATACAAAGATGAACTAAAAACTGATCAATGACCCAACTATAAGGCATGCAAATATAAAACCTATAGAAGAAAATACAGGAGTAAATCATCATGACCTTAAATTTGGCAAAGGATTCTCGGCACACCAAAAGCACAAACAAGGAGAAAAAAATGGAAAAATTGGGCTTCATCAAAATTGAAATTTTCAAAGAACATTCCCGGTAAAACTGAAAACACAATCTACAGAATAGGAGAAAATATTTATAAATGATACATTTGATAAGGGTTTAATAGGGTTAAACCCTTGATAAGGGTTTATGTAAAGACGACCACAACTAAAGAACAAAAAGACATCTGGTAACAGATTTCAATAGACATTTCTCCAAAGAAGATATAGAAATGTCATTAAGCATGTGGAGGAAAAATATGCCAAAAGTCGTGATCAGGGAAATGCATATAAAAACCATAACAGGGGCACCTGGGTGGCTCAGTCGGTTTTGTGACCCACCTCGGCTCAGGTCATGATCTCACGGTCCGTGAGTTCGAGCCCTGTGTCGGGCTCTGTGCTGACAGCTCTGAGCCTGGAGCCTACTTCGGATTCTGTGTCTCCCTCTCTCTCTGACCCTCCCCCGTTCATGCTCTGTCTCTCTTTGTCTCAAAAATAAATAAACACTTAAAAAATAAATAAATAAATTTAATGAGAGGGGTGCCTGGGTGACTCAGTAGATTGAGCGTCCGACTTCAGCTCAGGTCATGATCTTGCGGTCTGTGAGTTCAAGCCCAGCGGCGGGCTCTGTGCTGACAGCTCAGAGCCTGGAGCCTACTTCCGACTCTGTTTCTCCCTTTCTCTCTGCCCTCCCCTGCTCATGCTCTGTCTCTCTCTCTCTCTCTGTCAAAAACAAATAAACATTAAAAAATTTTTTTTAATAAAAAATTATTTAAAAAAAATTTAGAGAGAGCAAGAGCAAGTGCTGGGGGGTTGAGGGACAGAGGGAGAGGGAGACAGAAGATCTGAACCGGGCTCAGTGCTGGCAGCAGAGTCCCATGTGAGGTTCAAACTCATGAACTGCAAGATCATGACTTGAGCTAAAGTCAGATGCTCAACTGACTGAGCCACACAGGTGCCCCTATTAATTTATTTTGAAAGACAGCATGTGTGTGCAAGGTGGGTAGGGGCAGAGAGGGAGACGGAATCCTAAGCAGGCTCTGCACTGTTACTGCAGAGCCCAATGCAGGGCTCAATCTCACAAACTGTGAGATCATGACCTGAGGTGATATTAATAGTCAGACACTCAACCAGCTGAGCCACCCAGATGCTCCAACGGGATGATTCATTTAAAATGCTAAAAAGGCATCAGCTGGCTCTGTCCATAGAACATGCGACTCTTGATCTTGGGGTCGTAAATTCAAGCAACACATTGGCCACAGAGATTACTTAAAAAAAAAAAAAAGTTAAAATGCTAAAAGAAACACTGTCAACTGAAAACTTTATATGTGGCAAAATTGTCCTTTAGAAAATGGGGGGGGGTGTGTAAAAAAAAAAAGTTAAAAAAAGTGGGGGAGAAATTAAGACTTCCCTGATAAAGGAAAACTGAGAGTTCATTTTCACTAGACATTCTCTACAAAAAAATGCCAAAGGGAGACTTTCAAGTTGAAAGGAAGCCAGACAGTAACTCAAACCCATATGGAGATATAAAAAACTCCCGTAGAGGAAAATACATAGGGAAAATATAAAAGCCATTATTTTTGTAATTTTGGTTTAACTCCACTTTTTGTTTTCTACAGATATAAAAGATAAATGAATAAAAAATAGTTATATATACATTAATGGGTACACAGTACATAAAAATGTTAATTCATGGGACACCTGGCTGGCTCAGTTGGTGGAACATCCAACTCCTGATCTCATGGTCATGAGTTCAAGCCCCATGTTGGGCATAGAGCCTATTGAAAAAAAAAAAGTTGGGGTGCCTGGGTGGCTCAGTCGGTTAAGCGTCCGACTTCGGCTCAGGTCATGATCTCGAGGTCTGTGGGTTCGAGCCCCGCGTCGGGCTCTGTGCTGACAGCTCGGAGCCTGGAGCATGTTTCGGATTCTGTGTCTCCCTCTCTCTCAGACCCTCTCCTGCTCATGCTCTGTCTCTCTCTGTCTCAAAAATAAATAAACGTTAAAAAAAAAAAAGTTACCTCATGACTTAATCTAAAGTCAGTGAAAGTGAATCTGAAAAGTAGAGTTTTTGTATGTGAACAAAGTTGATGTCAATTTAAAATAGATTGTTATATAACTTTATGATATATACTTCCCATGGTAACCACAAACAGGATACTATAGAACATACCCAAAAGGGAATCAAAGAGTGTCACTATCGGTACAGAGTTTCAGTTTAGAAGATGAGAAAGTTCTGGAGATAGGTGGTGATGGTTGCATAACCATGTAAGTGTATTTAATGCCACTGAATTTTAACCTTAAAAATGTTTAATATACTAAATCTTATTTAAATATATTTTAGCAGGGGCGCCTGGGTGGCTCAGTCGGTTAAGCGGCCGACTTCGGCTCAGGTCATGATCTCACGGTCCGTGAGTTCGAGCCCCACGTCGGGCTCTGTGCTGATAGCTCAGAGCCTGGAGCCTGTTTCAGATTCTGTGTCTCACTCTCTCTCTCTGACCCTCCCCCATTCATGCTCTGTCTCTGTCTCAAAAATAAACGTTAAAAAAAAAACATTTAAATATATTTTAGCAGAGTAAAATACTACAGTGAGATACTACTTCATACCTACTAGGATACCTACAAAGAAAAACTCAGATACTAACAGGTGTTGGGGGATGTGAATAAATCAGAACCCTCATATGCTGCTGATTGGAATTAAAAATAGTGTGACTGCTTTGGAAAACAGTCTAGCAATTTTTCAAAATGTTCAAAATGGAGTTACCATATGATACAGCAATTCAACTGGTAGGCATATAGAAGAGAAACGAAGATGTATGTCTACACAAAAACTTGAACATGAATATTCTTTGCAGGATTACTCATAAGAATCAAAAGGTAGAGGGGTGCCTGGGTGGCGCAGTCGGTTAAGCATCCGACTTTAGCCAGGTCACGATCTCGCGGTCCGTGAGTTCGAGCCCCGTGTCAGGCTCTGGGCTGATGGCTCGGAGCCTGCAGCCTGTTTCCGATTCTGTGTCTCCCTCTCTCTCTGCCCCTCCCCCGTTCATGCTCTGTCTATCTCTGTCCCAAAAATAAATAAAAAACGTTGAAAAAAAATTTAAAAAAAAAAAAAAAGAATCAAAAGGTAGAGGAGTGCCTGGGTGGATCATTATATAAGCCTCCAACTGTTAATGACACAAATGCCCATCAAAAAATAGGACAGATGTGCCTGGATGGCTCAGTCAGTAGAGCATGTGACTTTTGATCTTGGAGTCATGAGTTGAACCCCATTTTGGGCATAGAGATTAGTTAAAAAAAAAAAAAAGGAGAGCAAAATAAAATAGGATTTATTCTTATTATGGGAGATTACCTAATGATAAAATAGTACAAACACAGATGATTCTCACAAATGTGAAATTAAGCAAAACAGGCCAGATAAAAATGTATACAATATTATGTAAAATCACATTTATATCAACTTCTTTTATATGAATCTAATTAAAATGAATCTATCATCATAGTGGTAAGAACAGTAGTTACCTTTGTTGAGGGTAGGGAGGGGTGAGTTGGTAATGACTAGAAGGAAATACGTTTTTCTTGATGAGTAAGAAAATGGTTAAATGGGTATATATACATGTTAAAATGTGATGGTTAAATGGGTATATATACATGTTAAAAACAAACTAGAATGTTGTTTGCATGATTTGCAGTAATTTATGTTTCAGTTAGAAAAAATATATAAAACACATGCAAAGATAAGGTGGCAGAGGTGAGTTTGGAATTCACATTCTTCTCACTACAAAGTAAGTTGTAACTCTGGTTCTTGCCTGTGTAGTTCAGAATTACTTCATTATGGAATGAAATCTGAGCATGAGTAATTTGCTGGAAAGTTAGAAATAATCTATAACCTACCAAAATACACTAAAGCATAAAGGTTAGTAAATAATTCCATTCACCTCCATGGATATCACTTGGGTGCAATAAAAATTATCTTAGTAGACCTGGAGTACACAGACTCTGCACTTTCCACAGAAAGGAATGGCCCTTGGCCAGCTACTGTGAGATAAGCTGGGAGCCCTTAGAATATCCTCCCTTTAAAAGCTTTTTTTGAGGGACACCTGGGTGGTTCAGTTGGTTAAGTGACTCTTGATTTCAGCTCAGGTCATGATCTCACAGTTCCTGAGTTCGAGCCTCATGTCGGGCTCTGTGCTGATGGTGTGGGGCCTGCCTGGGATTCTCTCTCCTCTCTCTCTGCCCTTCCCCTGCTCACTCACTCTCTCTCTCTCAAAAATAAATAAGTAAACTTAAAAAATAATAAAAGCTTTTTTGAGCTATGCCAAATAGTCTTTGCTAACAATGTGACTTTTGGTAAACTGTTTTGTTGCCAGGGGCCCTCTGTAGGGGCTTGAAATTGAGTAGGTAAGGGTAAATCACATAGTTACTCCATGCCTATATTTCATTTGTTTGTTTGTTTGTTTCCCGTGGCTGTTTCTGATCCTCAATAAAAACTCTGGACCCAAAAGCTCAGGTGAGCTTCCATGGCTCAGTTCACATGTGTTCTTACAAATTGTTGCTGGGAGAATTAAGCACTGTTTGTGTGAGTCCAATGGAAGCTCACATCTAGTTTTTTCCTGCTCTTCATCCTATGTGACTTTTCTCTTTGCTGATTTTAATCCTATGTGACTTTTCTCTTTGCTGATTTTAAATTATATCCTTTCATAACCACCATTTTCTTTAATTCTGTAAGTCTTAGCACATCATCAAATTTGAGGATGTTTTTGGGGAACTCTGACAAATCATGGCTTTAGTGTAAGTTGATCAAAACCTTATAGCCTTGGGTTTGTGTCAATTATATCCCTTTTCAACAACTACAAAGGGACATTGTCTGATTTCTTTAATAATCTTTCCCATACCCTACCATAGTTTTAGTCCTATTCATAGTATATATTTACATGGTCTGTTATAAACAAGTTAAGGGATAGAAGCTATGTCTCTTTAAGTTACATGAACAATACTGGCATACTTTAGGCACTTAATTACATGTTACATGAACAATATTGGCAAATTGTAGGCACTTAATATCTGATGTTTGACTTAGAAATGCAAATTCTAGAAATTCTTCCTTAGGAAACAGATATAAGGGTGCCTGGGTGGATCAGTTGTTGAGCATCCAACTTCAGCTCAGGTCATGATCTCACAGTTTGTGAGTTCAAAGCCCACATCAGGCTTGCTGCTGTCAGTATAGAGCCTGTTTCGGATCTTCTGTCTCTCCTCTCTCTCTCTCTCTGCTCCTCCCTCACTTATGCTCTCTCTCCCTCAAAAAAACATTTAAAAAAAGAAAAGAAACATATAAAAGCAGGGATGCCTGGCTGGCTCAGAGCATGTGACTCTTGATCTTGGGATTGTGAGTTCAAGCCCCATGTTGGGCATGGAGCCTACTTAAAAAAAAAAAAAAAAGAAAAGAGGGGTGCCTGGGTGGCTCAGTCGGCTGAGCGTCCAACTTTGGCTCAGATCATGATCTCATGGTCCGTGAGTTCGAGCCACGTGTTGGGCTCTGTGACGACAGCATAGAGCCTGGAGCCTGCTTCGAATTCTGTGTCTCCCTCTCTCTCTGCTCCTCCCCCACTCATGCTCTGTCTCTCTCTCTCTCTCTCCTTCAAAAATAAATTTAAAAAAGCATTAAAAAGAAAAGAAACATATGAATGCAGATAAAATTCTATTATAAAGATCCACATATACTACAAAATAGTTTATGATCATTCTGAATATCTAATAGTAGGCAATAAAGGTTAAATAAAGGTTAAATAAAGTATGGTGAGCTGTAGGTTGTCAATATCTGCAGTATTTGCCCTTGATCCATATTAAATGTTGATGAAAAAAATTTGATGAATTAGTGAGACAATCAGATTTAAAAAATGATCAGAGGTTGTATACTATCATAATAAAGAACATAGAATCTGTCATCCAAAATTCAGTTCATTAACCTTATTTTTGGTTGTTACTAACTGTGTAACTTTTTACTACATTACTTAACTGACTTTATTTCCTCATCAGTAAAATGGGAAAAACAACAGTGACCTACCTCAAAGTGTTGCTGTATGTATCAAATGAAATAAAACATATAAAGCACTTTCAGTGGCATAACAATGACACCAAGTAAAAGTTGCCTATTAATTGATGAACTTGTAAAGAATATTTCATGTATCTTGTTTCATTACTTTTGAAAATTCCCTTTGTTCTTCTCCTTTTTCTTACAGTGAAATTTGAGATTCTCAGGTCTGTTTTTCCATGTCATGGTAACTTATTTCAGTGTTCTTCCTCATTAATAATATTTGTCACAAAGATTCTCAAAAAGCATAGGAGGACAAATATTCTTGCCCTCCACATAAAGCTGCACACATATAACTAGTTTAAAGAATCTTATCTAACAAGTGACAGCTTGAGCCTAATAATAAAAGGCTCAATCTTGTTCCCATATCCAACACAGGAGTTATATGCATATTTACTTCTGTGTCTGTAAATATGTCCTTTCAAGTATAATGTGTATGATGAGGTCTTGTATGAAACTTGGATCTCCCAGATCATTCCTAGGTCTTATGAAAGAAATCACAATCTCTAAAAAATATGAAACTCTGAATAGCAGTCTTACTAGTTTTATTATGCTCCTCTGGTAATTGAAATTACAAAAGTTTTGAATATTTAGATGTGCCAGATCACATGGTGACCACTACCACTATCTACTTATAACTACATGTCTAGAAGTATGATAAAACTGTAACTTTGTCTCTTTTAAAAATGTGGCAAATTCATGGGCCAAATTTTTTTTTTAATGTTTATTTATTTTTGAGAGAGAAGGAGAGAGTGCAGTAATGGGGAAGGAGTAGTGAGAAGCAGGACAGAGGATCCAAAGCAGGCTGGCAGCACGGAGCATGACACAGGGCTCAAACTCATGAACTGTGAGATCATGACCTGAGCTAAAGTCAGACACTTAACTGACTGAGCCACCCAGGTACCCTCACGGGCCAAATTTCTTGTTGGCAGAAGCAAAATAAAAAACATACTCAAATGCATAAATCTTCCAAAAATAGCAAACTGAATTCAACAATACATTAAAAAGATCATATACCATGATCAAGTGAAATTTATTCCAGGAATGCTAGGATGTTTCCATATCCACAAGTCAATCAATTGACACACAATGAAGGATTAACAAAATTAAGGGTAAAAGGACAAAAAATTAAGGATAAAAATCATATGACCAGAAATCAATAGATCCAGAAAAAGCATTTGACAAAATTCAACATGAATTTGTTAAAAACTAAACAAAGTGGGCATTGAGGGAACATACCTCAACATAATAAGGTCATATATGACAAGCACAAAGCTAAGATCATACTCAGTGGTGAACATCTGAAAGCTTTTCCTCCAAGATCAGAAACAAGAAAGGATGCCCACTCTTACCACTTTTGTTCAACATCAGAAGTCCTAGCCAGAGCAATTAGGTAAGAAAAAAAATTAAAGGCCTCCAAAACAGAAACGAAGAAGTCAAACTGTCACTATTTGCAGATGACATTCTATTATTATTTATAAAATTTCTTTCTGATCATTAATTATTAGCATATAGAAATGCAACTGATTTTTGTACATTGATTTTGTATTCTGCACCTTTATTGAATTTATTACTTCTAAGAGGTTGTTTTGGTGTAATCTTTAAACAATCCCATTTACAATTGCATCAAAAATAATAAAAAAACAGGGGCGCCTGGGTGGCGCAGTCGGTTGGGCGTCCGACTTCAGCCAGGTCACGATCTCGCGGTCCGTGAGTTCAAGCCCCGCGTCGGGCTCTGGGCTGATGGCTCGGAGCCTGGAGCCTGCTTCCGATTCTGTGTCTCCCTCTCTCTCTGCCCCTCCCCTGTTCATGCTCTGTCTCTCTCTGTCCCAAAAATAAATAAAAAACGTTGAAAAAAATTTTTTAAAAAAATAATAAAAAAACATAGGAATAAATTTAACCAAAGAGGTGAAGGACCTGTACACTGAAAACTATAAGACAATGCTGAAAGAAACTGAGGAAGACACAGATAAATAGAAAGGTAATCCACGCTCATAGACTGGAAGAATTAAATACTGTTAAAACATCTAGACTACCACAAAAGATTGATAAATTCAATGCATCCCTATCAAAATTTCAATGACATTTTTCAGAGAAATGCAACAAACAATCCTAAAATATGTATGGAACCACAAAAGACCCTGAAGAGTGAAAGGAATCTTGAGAAACAAAGCTGGAAGCATCATGCATTTTTATTTTAAACTGTATTACAAAGCTATAGTGATCAAAATAGTTATGATATTAATATTTAAAAAAAGACACATTAGTCAATGGAATAGAACAAGGAGCCCAGAAAGAAACCCACATATAAATAGTCAATTTATGACAAAAGAGCCAAGAACATACAGTATTCATGACACAGTGTTGGAAAAACTGGACAACTACATGCAAAAGAATGAAATTGGAACATATTTTACACCATACACAAAAATGAACTTAAAATGGATTAAGGAGTTGAACATAGGACTTGAAACCATAAAGTTCCTAAAAGAAAACATAGTAAACTCCTTGACAATGGTCTGGGCAATGATTTTTGGATTGGACACCAAAAGCAACAAAAACAAAAATAAACAAGTGGGACTACAGCACATTAAAATGCCTCTGCACAGCAAAGGAAACCATCAACAAAATGAAAAGGTAACCTATTGAATGGGAAAAAAGAATTGCAAGTCATACATCTGATAAGAGGTTAATATCCAAGGTATATAAAGAACTGCTTCAACTCAACAGCCAAAAAACAATCTGATTAAAAATGGGTAGAGAGTCTGAATAGATATTTTCCAAAGAAGACATGCAAGTGGCCAATACACATGAAAAGTTGTTTACACCACTAATCATCAGGGAAATACAAATCAAAACCACAATGACACATGACTTCACACCTCCTAGAATGGCTACTATCCAAAAGACAAGAAATAACAAGTGTTGGGAAGGATGAGGAGAAAAGGAAATCTATTCTTGTGCACTGCTGGTGGAAATGTATATTGGTGCAGTTGCTATGGAAAACAGTATGGAGGTTCCTCAAAAAGTTAAAACAGAACTACCATATGATCCAACAATTTCACTTCTGGATATTTATCTGATGGAAACTTGAACATTAACTCAAAAAGATATATATAGATACCCCCATGTTCACGCAGCCTGGGTGTGGAGCCTGCTTAAGATTCTCTCTCTCCCTCTTCCTCTGCCCTTCCCCTGCTCAAGTGCGTGTGCAGAAGACACGAATTGACATTTTTACAAAGAAGACACCCAGATGGCTAAAAGACACATGAAAAATGTTCAACATTACTCATCATCAAGGAAATACAAGTCAAAACCATAATGAGATACCACCTCACACCTGTCAGAATGGCTAAAACTAACAACTCAGGAAACAGATGTTGGCGAGGATGTGGAGAAAGGGGAACCCTCTTACTGGTGGGAATGCAATCTCATGCAATCACTGTGGAAGCTCCTCAAAAGGGTAAAAATAAAACTACCTTATGACCCAAGAATTGCACTACTAGGTATTTATCCAAAGGATACCAAAATGCTGATTCGAAGGGGCACATGCACTCCAATGTTTATAACAGCAACAAAAATAGCCAAACTATGGAAAGAGCCCAAGGGTCCATGGACTGATGAATGGATAAAGAAGATGTGGTATAGACAGTGGAATATTACTCAGCCATCAAAGAAATAGAAATCTTCCCATTTGCAATGACATGGATGGAGCTAGAGTGTATTAACCTAAGGGAAATAAGTCACTCAGAAAGATAAATACCATATGATTTTACTCATATATGGAATTTAGGAAACAAAACAGATGAACATATGGGAAGGGGGAAAAAAAGAGAGATGGAAGCAAACCATAACAGATTCTTGATAGAGAACAAACTGAGGGTTGATGGAGGGAGGGAGGTGGGGGATGGGCTAGATGGGTGATGAGTATTAAGGAGGGCACTTATTATGATGAGCACTGGGTGTTGTATGCAAGTGATGAGTCACTAAATTCTACTCCTGAAACCATTATTACACTATGTTAACTAAGTAGGATTAAAATTTTTTTTCCATTTCATTTATTTTAGAGAGAGAGAGTGGGAGACAGCACGCACATGAGTGGGTGAGAAGGAAGAGGGAAAGAGAGTGAGAGAGAATCTCAAGCTGACTCCACGCTCAGTGAAGAGCCCAACACAGTGTATGATCCCACAACTTTGGGATCATGACCTAAGCCGAAATCAAGAGTCTGACATTCAACCAACTGAGCCACCCAGGCACCCCTTAACTAACTAGAATTAAAAAAAAAAAATGAGGGAGCACTTGGGTGGCTCAGTCAATATAGCGCCTGACTCTTGGTTTCAGCTTAGGTTATGATCACATGGGTTCACGGGCTTGAGACCCGTGTCAGGCACCATGGTGACAGCAGGGAGCCTGCTTGGGATTCTTTCTCTCTCCCTCTCTCTCTGCCCTTCCCCTGCTCGAGTGTGTGCGCACACGCCCTCTCTCCCAAAATAAATAAACTTAAAAAAAAGAAATACATATAAATAAACAATTTGGAAAAAGAAAACTAAGTTCTATTCTAGGACATTAGCAAATCTGATTTTCAAAGATTCCTTTTAAATCTCATCAAAATTAGGGGCGCCTGGGTGGCAAAGTCGGTTAAGCGTCCGACTTCAGCCAGGTCATGATCTCACGGTCCGGGAGTTCGAGCCCCGCGTCGGGCTCTGGGCTGATGGCTCAGAGCCTGGAGCCTGTTTCCGATTCTGTGTCTCCCTCTCTCTCTGCCCCTCCCCC